AGAATAATGGAACTGAATTTGCTACTGTTGAATCACCCATATGCACCCCAAACCAACACGACCACAACTCAATGCCTGCCCCCCCACCACCACACAGAGTATTTTGTGGATTATTTTTATGAGACCCTAGTTTATAAAAAATTGATATAATTCTTCTGTACTAGTATCTGTTAATTGAAAACATCATGAAACTTTAAAGTCACAACTGGTCTACCTCTGATGGCAGACAAATAAGCAAAATGACCATTGGCTAACAGGTGGCCTGGTCAAGATCAACCATCAAAGTTGATTATTGGCTAATCGATTAACTATCTAAGATGAAACTACCAAATAATCCATTGGCTAACTAAATGCCTAACCATGAAGAACCAACCAACAGGGCCATTAGTTAATAGATCAACCAAGATGGACCAATCAAGTGACCTATTGGTTAATGACAGAACCAACCATGAGAAACCAATCAAGTGGATCCTAATTTAACAGAGAAAGCCCCAAGTAAAATCTGAAGATGCCAAACTCAGCTTCATCCAGAAGAGATAAAATAAAACTTTTAACTCATTAACAAAGAGAACATCTTAACTAACCCAAACGCACAGCATGAAATCTAACAATGTGACCATGGCATGGGTCACCACGCAGGACTGGAAATTGTTCATGAAACCATACTTACGAAGATTATTTATGGGGGTTCTCGTATCCATGTTCTCGTAATGCTGGACGTGAACAACAATGTTAAGGTCTCTCTCCGTGTGGTCAGTGTTGCAATGGCCCTGTGGCCTCATGACATCTGCAAGGGCCCTGAAAGAAGAAAGAATTTAAAACTGTTCATTCAAAACACAATGATTGGCACCTGCTCTGCACTGAGCACTGTGCTTGTGAATAAAAGACAAGGCCATTTAATCCACAGAACCACCATTCTAGTTAGGGGCGGGGTGTTGATAAACATAAGTAACACATAAAATCACTGCAATTAGGGCTTACATAGGGACTTCACACAGAGTAATCCACATTCTTCTCACAAATGCTGTATAATAACAGCACTATCTACCCCATGGAGTTGTTGAGAGTATTAAATGATGAAGATGTGTAACGTGTCCGCACCCCCTGGCTCTCTATATCTAACACTAGATACCAACAACACTTCCTGTACAGCAATGGCCCAATATTAGCAACAACAGCTAATAATTATTGAGTACTTACCATAAGCCAGGAACTATGCTAATTACATTACATGCCTTGACTCAACAAAGCCTCAGAGAGGTGGATGAAGCCGCTCAAGGTGACACAGTCATTGAGGTGGGGTGCAGGGATTTGAACCAGAACATTTTGGGGGAAGCATGGGGGAAAGGACATAATTCAACACATAACAGTGACCTTCACAATTACATGTAAACTTAGGAAAGAAGTTCAGTGTTTGCACATAGAACAAAGCAAAGATAGATACCTGTCAAACGGATATCAATCACACTTAAGTTTCACCAACACTTCGTTTATTTTTATCTACCCTCCATCACATGTTTATTTAGATATATGAGCATCCTTGAAAGACATATAATATTGTACATATTATTGTATATGTGTGTAACTTCTGCATGAATGGTATTTTTTTAAAAAACCTCATTCTGTTTCTTCCTTTGTTCATACAACATGACAGCTAGCCATATTGCTGGATGTGAATCTCTTTCATCGTTGCTACCACTGCATGGTGTCCCTTCATATGCAACCCCCTTACTTGTACTTCCTTGCAGGGGTAAGAGTCTCAACACACAACTACTAGTATGACAGAGAACTGGCCAATCAGAATGAATGCCAACATCCAGTTGCTTCATTGTAAGCCAGCAGACCAGCTCTATTTATCATTTCCATAATTATGGACATCTAGATGATCACCAACTCCCTGGCCCCTATAAACAACACTGCAATAATCATCCCCACACAGGCCTCCTCTTGGACGAGGGAGAGTTTCTCCAGAGAACTTTACCCACAAGTGATAATGCCATGTTTTAAGATATACACAGATGCCCTTAGCTAACCAGGACCCTCTGAGTCCACATAGAGACAAAGGCGGAAAAACTGTTTGGAGGAAGCCCACAAAGACCACCCATAAACTCAGCAGGCACAGCCTGTCTGCTGAAATCTACCCCACTGGGGCAGTAATCCTCAAAACAGTGGTCTGCCCACCGGCAGCATCTGCGTCACCTGAGAACTTAACGATGCAAATTTTGAGATCTATCCAGAAGTACTGAGTCAGAAACTCCACGGTTGGGGCACCCAAAATCTGTGTTTTCACAGGCCTTCCATGCGAGTCACCACACATCCACATTTGAGACTGTGTTAGGGCAACAGAGGGCCTGTGCTTGAGGGAATGATTGATCACAGGGCAATTGGGCAATGGGGCAAGAACCACAGCTGTTGAGAATATTCAGATGCAAGAGAGACCCAAGTCAACACAATGAGAATCCCACATGAATTAGAGGGAAAGACTGAGTCCCGTAAAACAGAAGAGAATAAAAACAGCTCTCATTCACTCGTTCGTCCACCAAATATTTATTGTCTACTATGTGCCATGCACTGTGCAAGGCTCTTGGGATACAGCAGTGTTCAAGAAGAACTCTTCCTGAGCTTATAGTCTATGGGAGAGGATAAAAACTAAACATTAGATAAATAAACAAGGGCTGCAAATTAATAAATAAATAAAGAGCAATATGATCAGGAGAAACCGGTATCTAGCAGCTTTTCTCACAATAGCCAAAAAGTGGTAACAACCCAGGTGTGCATCGCCTTATGAACAGATGTACAAAATGTTACATGACAGGGAAAATTATTCAGCCATGAAAAGGATTGAAGCACAGATACCTGCTATAACATGAATGAAACTTGAAAACAAAAAGAAGCCAGACAAAAAGCCACACATTGTAGGATTCCATTTATACCAAATGTTCAGAATAGACAAATCCATAAAGACAGAAAGTGGATTTGTGGTTGCCAGGGGTTTGGGGTGGGGGAGGGGAATGGGAATTGACTTCTAGTGGGTATGGGGTTTGCTTGTAGGGTGATAAAAACCTTACTATGATTAGATAGTGGACTGTACATAGTGATGATAGTTGCACAACTTTGTGAATATACTAAAACCACCAAGTTTTATACTCATAAGAAATTCTAAACAAAGTGAGAGAAAGAAAAAAATCGGGAGATCAGGAAAAGCCTTCCTAGGTAGATGAAATTCGAGTTGAGCCCTGAATGGTGAGGAGTTGGTCACATGTGAAAATAATGAAAACAGCTTTCCAGGCAGTGAGAAGAGCATATGCAAAGGCCCTGAGGCAGGAAAAAGCTCAGCTACAAGTGTACTTCTCAAAGTTCGTGGAAAAATAGAATTGAAAGATAATACTGATCTTCCTCTGAACTTTTTGAAGTGCTCTGGTATTTGAAGAACAGGGAGAAAGGCCAGTAAAGCTGGGATAGAGCAAACGAGGAGAGCTGCATTACAACATGTGGATTATCACACTCACTTTACAGAGTGAGATCCTGCCCAAGTTCACCCAGCTCATCAGTGGAGGGACTGAGTGCAGGTGCAGGCCTGAATGTCTTTAAAATCAAAGTTTAGGCTCCTTCCTACCTCTGTGCTGTAGTGTAAGCAGCACCTGAAACTCCAAGGGGCTTCAGGGAAAGAAAGTTTTGAGGGGCTGCCCTAATCTAACTTGCCTTTTTCCATTCTAAATGAGTTCTTTATCCTGAGCATCAGGGGATTGCTGAACTGCTCTAAAATTGAATGGAAATTTCGTTTGTACATATTTTTTTTTCAGCAAGAAGCTTTCATCAGATTCTCTAAGGAGTACCCCCCAAAATTCCAAAATATTCAGGCTTTCAAGAGAATAGCAAAGTAAATAATCAGGATGGCTACCATGAACTTGGTCAGCACTGCCATCTGCAGATCCCCTGGGCTTCTCCGGAGTGCCAAAATTGGTGAAATTCCTGCCCAAAAGCTCCAGGATGCTTTTCCCCAGTGCAAACCTCCCCAGAGTATACAGTGGAGACAAGGATTCTTAGGGACCTCCATTTCCTGGACAGGAAGTCTCCAAAGTATGGTTTGCTCACTCCAAGGACTGCATTAAATGATTCTGTGTGGGGGACGGAAATGTCAGAACTTCTATGTATCCTTAGTCATTAAAAATGAGAAATCAATTTAATACGTGTATTGATGCTGGTACCCACGCTTGGAACACCCGTGTCAGATGGCAGGAATCAGGAACCTTGGACCAAAGAAGGTGACAGCCAGCAGTATCCTCACTGGGACACACCTGTATTTCAGTTGTATGTGCCCCCTGACGGGGATGTACAGATTAAATTATCTACTTTTGACTACGCTAACTATCACCGCAGTTATGTGGCTTAAAAAATACCCCCCTTAACAAAACCACAGCCAGAAGATAGTGCTGATAATGCAAACACAACAAAACATTAGAACTGACTC